AAGGAGCTGCTCGGCGAACCGAGCGCGCTGCCGCTGCTGCCGCTCGAGGCTGAGCCGGGGGCCGGGCGAGCCGAGCCGGCGCCCAAGGAAGACTTTCTGGGCGACAGCGCTAAGGAGCTCTGCAAAGCCGTGTCCGCCTCCATGGGGCTGGCGGTGGAGGCGCTGGAGGCACCCAGAGAGCCGCCACCCCGCGAGGACTGCATGTTCGCGCTGCCCGCAGGGCCGCCCCGCGCCCCGCGTCCCGACGTCGCCGAACCGCCGGAGCCGCCCGCACCGGCCGCCTTCAAGGGCAGCGGCGCCGAGGCCGCCTTGGCCGTCGAAGTGCCCGCGGGGCTGCCGCTGTACCGCGTCTCCCCTCCGCCCGAGGAGCCGCCTGGCCGCGACTGCTTCGTCCTCTCGTCTCCCGCCCGCATCAAGCTGGAGAGGCCCCCCAAGCCCGCGGCCGTCGGCGCCTGGGGCGCGCCGGTCCCCGCGCCGCCGTGGCCCCCCTTCTTCGCCGACGAGGGGCAGCTGTACGGGCCCTGCGCCGAGCCGGCCCCCGGAGCCTTCGGCTGCGGCCACGCCGAGAACGCCGACTTCGCCGCCGACGCGTGGTACCCGATGGGGCGGACGCCCTACGCCGCCCCCGGCTCCTACATCAAGAGCGAGTTGGGACCCTGGGCAGAGGGCTACGCCGGAGCCTACGGAGACGTCCGGTGAGTGCCGCCCGTCCCGCTGCCGCTCGCGGTTCCTCCGTCCCGTTCTTCCCGCAGCTCCTCTCGGTGCCGCGTGCGGGCGGAGCTCCGCTGCGTCCCGAGCACCGCCGGTGTGTGATAACCGACCGCAGCACCATCGTTCTGCATCGAACGGTGCCGTGCGCGGGCGTGGAAACACAGAGCGGGCTTTGCGGCTCCGGCTTGAGTACGAGTATGTGTGTTTTGGGTAGAGATAAAACGGTATTCAGAACTACGGAAAAGGAGAAACTGATGCGCTTGGAAAGACGCGCTTGGTCAAAAGTGGTTTTCTTGGTGAATTAACCTTAAAAAAGGAGATGGCTGTCTCTGTACAGTGGGCACACGCGGTGCAAAGCAGCGGGCAAACATTACGCTTGTGTGTGACTGAGCGATTCCCTCCTCATAGCAAAAATGTTACTGACGGAGAGAGTCGCTGCAGCCGATGGAACCAGGAGTGAGAAAACAACAGTGAGGGAATTTTCCTTGAATTTTGGAAACCAAAAAGCGTCAGTAGGCACTGAGGGCACAGCAGCTCCAGGTGGTGTCACAGACACAGCCTGGGTGCAGCGCTGCACCTCGCCGGGCGCTGTGATCAGAGATTGGAACACAATGGGATTTTCCCCGTAAATGAGCTTCGTGCAAACACATCCCGCCATGTGCTGCTGTGCTCATTCTGCTGCTTTGAAGTGCACACGTTCGTACTGAGGTAGTGTAGTAATTGTTATCCAATGATGTATTTGTGCATTCTACTTAGAAGCAGATTGGGGGGGGGAGGAAGAAGGGATAAAGCAAGGAAGGGTCCCACTGAGTGCCAGCAGCAGGACCTGCATGCACGGCATGCTGATCCTGAGCCATATAAAGCTGCTGAGAGCAGTGTGAAGCTGTTGGGGATGGGTGCAGCTGAAGGAATTTTGCTTCCCAATTACTGGCACCTGGAGATGGAGGTGCCTGGCTGCAGCGGGTGAAGCTCAGGGCTGTGCTGTCTGCCTGCGAGCCCGTGCGATACAACTGCTTGTAGGTAAGGAATGTTGGGTGAAGCGTGGCAGGGTTGGGTGTATGTGGTGCTCTGTTCCATCCCCTGCTGTCCTATGTCCAGCCACATCTGCAGCAGAGCTCAGGGGGGACCCTGCATTGTTTAGAACACCTTAATCTGGTGCTTTGGACCCAGTGCTTCTGTGTTGCTGTGTGGCCATGGAGAGTGAGTAGTGGTGCTTTATCCCCCTGTGTGTTAGGTGCAGTTCTGGGAGGAACTCCAGGCTGTGCTCAGGCTGAAGCTGCCTGGGTTGATGCCCTCAGGTTTGCGTATGTCTGGGTGAGATCTCTGCTCACTGCACCACGTACAATTCCTCTGCTGCTGCTCTCTTGGGTTTGTTTTCTCCTGGCTTTGCAGCAGCAGCAAGCCAGGCTGGAGCTGGGGGCAGCGTGTCTTGTCCAGCTTGGGCAGAGCATTGCTAAGGAGGGAGGGATGGGGGACCTGGAGCATTTCACAGTGATGTTACTGTGTTGAAGGGCAGTCTGCTTGGCTCTCGTGTAACTTGGCTGGTTTCCAAAGGCGGTTGGTGGTGATCCTACCCCAGTTAATGTGGGATGCCAACTGGCACAGAAAGCCCAACTCCTTGGCTGTGTTCCTGGAAGGAGGCAGAAGAGCTCTGGGGGCTCTCAGCAGTGGTACTGTCCCACTGCACTTCAGGTTCCTGTGCCTTTGAAACGTGGGCAGCTGCAGTACAGCCTGCTTTTCTCTGAGTGCTTGCAAATCTGGGTTAGATACAGGCACTTTAGCAGATAGATGCCTTACCCTGTATGCAACAGCAAGCCCTGAACACAACCTTTGTTTCTTAGCATGTTTGTGGGGAGCTGTTTCTACTTTCCTTCTATGTAGAGCACTGTGGGTTTAGTTGTGGGGTTTCCCTTCCAAAGCCTTGAGAGAATGTGGCTGCCTGGCAGGGCTGAGGTGTGCTGGTGGCACACAGCTGAGATTCAATGATCAGCAGCAGCCAGGCCCAGCATTAACCCTGCTCAGATGCTGTCCCTGGATTCTCATTGCTGCTGCCATCTGGGCATGGTGTGGGACGGGGCTGTAGCAGCAGTGGGGTCAGGGCTGTGATGGATGCAGCATTGCTGCCTGCCCCTGTGCTTGTGCAGAGGTTTGCCTGTGTTTAGGGGCTGCTGTGTTACACAGGAGACAAAGCAGGCATTAACACAACTTGACTGAACGTTAAGCTTTTGATACAGTGTATGTGAATGTGGCAGCAATGCTTATGTATGATTAACAAATTAATCCAAACTTTTGTTCCACTGCAGGGTTGGGGCTGCTCTGCTCTGCCAGCTGAGTGACTGTTGCCTGCAGTCTGTAAGGTGACCACATAACCTGATTGAGAAATGAGACACTGACTTGTTAGAATAAATTGAAGCTCACAGGGTCAAGGTGACTTTAAGATTAAGAATGTGGAAGCAAGTAAGAAGTTTAGGCTGTTTGTTTGAAACTAAAATAAATGCAAAGGGGGAACTGTTGTTGTCACAGTGGGCATGAAGGTGATAGAGGAACTTGGGATACTTGGCTCAGAGAAACCTGGCTCACCCTGTGGTCCCCACAGGGCATTTCCTATTGCTGCTGTCTGCTTTGTGGCCCCATATGTGCTGGCTGTACCTCTCTGCAGATTCCATTCTCTGGTCCAGTTGTGGTCTGTGTGGGTTACACATCACTCAGCACAGTGACCACACGCTCTTCTTTGTGGCCAGCCCTGCAATCATGATACCACTCACAGATAACACCTGTAACAATTTCTGCTTGTTGAAGGAGGAGATAAGGGTCTGGCAATGAGATCAAGGGCAGCAGCTTGCCCTAGAAGATGAGGCCATGTGGAAGGCCGTGTTTCTGCATTGCTGGGCTCCCCAGCCGTGCCATGCTTCTAAGCTTTTGCCCCCCAGCACAGAGCTGAGCACAGCACGGCCAGGAGCCCACGCTGTGCTCGCTTGCGCTGCAGATCCCCAACTTTGTGCTGGAAGCACTCAAAGGCAGAAGTGGGATTCGCCCTCCCCCTGTTGCCAACCTGACCTCTCTGCTTGGGAATGGCAATATTATGCAAATGTTTCTTTTGAAGAGGAGCAGTGCGTGGAGGAATGCTGTTTCTGAAGCCCATCCCTGGGGCCAGCTCTGTAAAGTGCACAAATAGTGCACAGATCCCACGGGTAGTGTGCTGCAGGCGGCTGGGAAAGTCACTGATGTGCTATGGCTCTCTGATGGCTCCTGATAAAAGGAGAGGAAAAAGAGTATGAAAAATTCTTCCTTGTCACCATTCAGTTCTTGTTTGTTTGTGTGGGGTTTTTTCTGTCAATGCAGACATTGGCACTGGTATGGTCAGTTTCCTCAGCTGGGTTTGGATTCTTCTTGCACCACACAGGGAAGTATTTGCCCCTTTTCAGTAGAGTTTGGGCACTGCATTCTGGCGCTGTTGCATGAGGCACAGCCCTGTGCACAGCAGCAATGCCTGCCACACGCTCCATCTGACTCAGCAGGCTGTGAATTGCATCAGTGCTGAGTGCTCCCGGCTGCAGCAGAGATCACAGAAAACTTGTAGTGGGAGATACCATCCCTAGGACACACCTGGAAAGTGTCTTAAATTCTTGTAGCCCCTGTTGCTTGTTTCTGGCAGTGCTCCACCTCCATGTGCAACCAGAGCCATGGGGATGGAGCTGGGGTGAAAGCCTCTGTGGTGTGCAGAGCTGTGGGGCTGCAGAGAGGGATGCAGGGCAGGCATGGGAGGGAGAACCACTGCTGAACTCCCTCAGGGCACAGCACTCAGAGGCTGCCTCTGGAGTTTCCCCACTGTTGGGCTGAGGAGGCTGCTCTGAGCGCAGAATGGGGCGCAGAGAGAGTTCCCAAATAGCGCTGTTGTTTTGAGGAGGCTCCCATGGGAGCCACCTCTTCAGCAGTATGCTGAGCTGCCCCTGTTGTGTCTGGGCAGGACTGCAGGCAGCAGGATGGGGCAGCAGCTGCACTGTGGGCTCTGCCTCACTGTGTCCTCACAGCAGCACCTGTGGGGTCACCCAGTGTTGGTAGCAAATCATCTGAGGTTCCACTGCACTTCCATGGACTGCTTGCAAAATGGCAACATGTAAGGCCAACCTCATTTCATAGAATCATACAATTCTGAGTTGGAAGAGACCTTCAGAGGTCGTCTAGTCCAACTTCCCTGCGATGAACAGAGACATCCACAGCTCAGTCAGGTTGCCCAGGGCCTGACTGAAAGTCTCCAGGGTTGGGGTATCCACCACGTCTCTGTGCAACCTCAGTGCCTCACTGCCTCGCTGGGAAAGACTCTTTCCATATATCCAACCTAAATATCCCCTCTTTAAGCTCCACGTTAGATACTGAAAGGCTGCTCTTGGGTCAATTTGGAGCCTTCTCTTCTTCAGGCTGAACAGCCCCAGCTCTCAGTTTGTCTTCATAGGAGAGGTGGATCCATTCTGTGGATCACTTTTGTGGCCTTCCTCTGGATGCACTCCAACAGGCCTGTTTCTCCTGCACTGAGGACTCCACATCTGGACTCAGTGCTCCAGGTGAGGCCTCATTTACTCTACTTCATGGATGATCTGTTCTCGATTTGATGCTGTTAATTTGCTTAATCTTTTCCACGAGCTAGATCTCACTTAACACAATGAGATTCTCTTTCCCAGCATTAGCTGTGCTCACCCTGCAGAACTACCCAGGGTTGGCTGTGCAGCCACTTGCTGGTGCACGGGACACTCCTGAATTCCTTTGAGGAGCGAATGAAGGAAAAACTCCACTTTCCACTCTCCCTTATTAGCCAGTTTGCTTCTCGTGTCTCACTGCTTTGTCTCTGGATTTCTCCCCCTGTTTCTACCACTGGCACCGTGTCCCATGACAAGCTCTCCGTCCACCACCACATCTGTGCCCCTGCCCAGCTCTGTCCCCTCACGCTGCAGGGTCTGTGCCCCACGGGTGCTGTGTAGCCAAGTGCTTTCTCATCCATTCGCTGCAAAAATGTTCCAGGGCAGACTCCCCCCATCCTCCTCGATGCTTTCCCCAGCTCTTGCACTGCTGAGCTCTCACTCTCTGGAAATCTGTTCCGAAGTCTCATTCTTGGTGCATTCACTGATTTTTATTTTTATTTTTTTTTTTCTTTCCCCATTTCCCTTAAGCACTTCATGCAATGGAAGGATGAGCTCTGCGTGCACTTGTTTGAGGACTAGGAAAAATTCACCAAAGGAATAACACATCACAAGGTGTGAGAGCACAGGTGGGGCTTTGCTACAGGGCTGTTTGCGTTCTCTGTCTGGCACGGCAAACCACTGCAGCACCTCAGGGGAAGCGAGCGTTTGCAGGACACAGCTCTTCTCCCCACCCCGGCATTCCCGCAGCCTTTCCTTTGCTTACAGTATTCGCCGGTATTACTTTGTTACGCAGATGCTGCCGTTCTTCCTTCGCTCTGTGCACAGCGCGCAGTTCTGCGGGGAAATCCGCTCCAGCCGGAGAGCGCGAGCGAAACGTCGGAGGCGCTTCGGTGCTTTTTGGCGAGGCTGGAAAGGCCGCGTGTGTTTCAGGGACCGTGGATGGCACGATTTGCAGCGCGGGGGGGTCCTGGCCGGCAGCCCCGGGCGGTGCGATGCGACCGCATCCCCGCGCACCGTCCTCGGGCATCGCGGCGGCCGGGACGGCCCTGGGACGCTGCACGGGGCCGGCGGTTCCTGGAAGTCTCTGCCCCCGGGCCTGGCTCGGGGCCGAGGGGCGTAGGACGGTTCGTGCAGCAGTTAAACAAAACACTGTATCGCGGCACCGAACGCCATCTGCTCTCCGGATGCTCCTTCGGGGAAGCGCCGCGTTTCCCCGCTCCCGGCGGCGCTTTTGGCCGCTGCTCTGCGTCCGTACGGCACCGCGGAGCTGCGGCGCAGCGGCTGCGCCTCGGGCTCGGGGCAAACCGCAGCGAAGCGGCCGATGGAGCTCCCTGTTGGTGCTGGGACGGGGCAAATCCCAGCGCACCCCCAGCTACCCGGAGAGAGGGACGCGGTGCCATTTCTTGCAGCAAGGAATCCAAAAACCTCCCAGAATATATTGCGAATTTTTGTGGTTGTACTGGAACACTTTGTCCCAGTGTGATGAAAGCAGTTTTCTTCTGCGGAGTTAAAAATAATTTGTAATAGAGAGAAATAGCTCTCTGGCCTGCAGTTCTCACCATTCATGTTGTTTCTCCATTTCATTTAATTCTGATTGTATAAATTGTTGGTTTTAAGGCGTGGGTGCTGATTTCTGTGCTGGGCACTGCTGTGATCTGCTACTGGGGCATGAGCTGGTCTGCTGCAGATGGATCCTTTCCTGCTGTGACTGTAGGCCAGCACTGCAGAGCTAAGCATGAGAGCAAACACCTTCCTATTTTATCGTCCTGGGATTGATAGCATTTTGATTTTATCAGATAAGCATTCACTGAAAGGCAGCTGTTCTGTAGGAAACTCTCTGGAAAGAAACCCTTGCTGCTGGGAGCTCCTCAGGCAGATCCCTGCGGCCTATGCAATGGTTGTGTGACCAAGAACCAAACGTGTATGGAGGGAAAGTGCAACTTCTCCTCAGCCTGCAGCTGGGGAACCAGGGTGGTCAGAGGGTGCAGATCTCACAAGCAGTGGTGTGAGCCCACAGCCAGCTCACCCTGGACATGGCATGCTTAGGGGGAGGATTTTGGTGCTGGTGCTGCACTCTGATCTGTGTCTTATGAGCAGCAACTGAGGGAACTGGGGTGGTTCAGTCTGGGGCAGAGGAGGCTCAGGGAGACCTCATTGCTCTCTCCGTCTCCCTGAAAGGAGGCTGTAGCGAGGTGGGGTTGGCCTCTGTTCCTGGGTAACAGTGATAGGATGAGAAGTGATGGCCTCGTTCCAGGGGAAGGTCAGGCTGGGTATTAGGAACAATTTCTTCTCCAAAGAGCGGTGGCGCACAGCGCAGGCTGCAGTTGAGCTGATAGTCACCATTCCCAGAGGTGCTCCATAATTGTGGAGATGCAGCACTGAGGGACATGGTGGTGGGTAGTGTTGGGGATGCTCCCAAACTCAGTGATTCTGAGATTCTACGGTTGGCCATCACTCAGGCAGTGCTCAGCACTCTATGATGCTGGCTATGACAGCAGGGCCATAAGAAATCTGCTCTGGCAGCATGGCAACAACATGAGGTGAGAGGAACCCCATGCCTTGTGTCTGTGGGGGAGCCAGGGCAGCTGCCATAGAGCTTCAGGACTGCGTTATATGGGGGACTGGAGGGAAATAACTGAGTGTACACCATGGTGTTATCCCTTCATCCTCCTCTGGCTGTGATGGAAGCGCAGTGCTGCCAGCCCATGTCACCACACTGCCTGCAGGGCCGACAGACACAGCGACGTGTGTTGGGATGGAAATTGGTCAATCACAGCCCCGAAAGCAGAGCTGATTATGGTCAGGCAGTGCTGCAGTGCTCACTGAGCGATGTGGTGGCAGAACACAGCCTGGTCGCGTTGGGATTTTAACTCAGTGCCGTTGGTCCTGGCAGTCACGGCACGCAGCATGCACCAGAATTGCTTTTATTATGTAGCACTAATGGTGCTACGAGGAGGCTGGTTGAAGTAAAAGATAGTGGCCTGTTGTCATGGCAAACACCCTGCTGGTCTGGCTGTGCTCACCTGGTGTGGTGCTTCTCTCCCGCAGCCCCGGGCACCAGCACAGCTCTGCCCACCTGTGCTCTGTTCTGCTTTAACAACAGCAATTACAGTCCTGCTTTCTCTTCAGGAGTGATTATAAGCGAAGTTCAATATATCTTCCAACAGTGATAAAAATGCTACAGGAGGTGTATGGCAATTCCAGAAGCACTGCTGAGCAGCAGCTCGTTGAGCGTCCAGGCAAAATAGATAATGATTCCTTCTCAATAAATAGAGTAGGAGAGCACAGTTTTGGCGAGCGGCTCCTTTGGCAGAAGTCCCTCTGGCTATGAGTGTGAGCGCCACCTGCTCCAGCACTGCAAGCATTGGGCTCCTGGGCCGTGGGGCCAGGGCAGTTCTGGAGGCTGGCAGGGCAGGGGTGCCCAGCAATCACCATTGGTAGTGCCATTCACCCTGGCAGAGCCTGGTCCTGTGAAGCCTGGCACCAGGGCCGCATTTGCAGGGCACGGCACTGCAGGAGAGCACTCCTCCCGCTGCTTTTTTACTTTTAATGCAACCTGAGCAGAAGCCAGCAGGAGCAAGTTCACCGATGCTCTGTTGGGGCTTGGAAATGCCAGGCTCTGCATCTGGGAGAACCTGTCTACAGAATGAGAACACAGATGCTGGCACTCCTGAGAAGTAGTACAGGCTGCTTGTCAGGACACAAACAGAACACGGCGTGGTTCTGCAGTAATGGAAACCAACTCGAAGCCCAGCCACAGCTCCACAGGTGTTTGTGTATTGTAGGTGCCCTTCCTGTGCCAGCACCATCCTGCTGGGATGGCTCCTGGGCTCCCCCAGGCATCTCAGATGTCCCTGCAGCAGCCCTGTGCAGTGCCCACTGATTTTCTATGCAGTTAAAGGCAGAATGCATCACACTGCTGCACAGCCCTGGAGCCAGAGGGGATGGGTCTCTCCCAGTGCTTCTGTGCTCAGCTCAGGCATGTTTTGGGGCACCAGGGGGCTGCCAGTGGCACATGGGAGTCTGAGTACATTCAGTGGTGCCATGTGCCACCTGCCCACAGCTGCCCCATTCCTGGAGGAAGAACTCGCAATACCCCGAGGTGTGGGTGGGCAGATGGCAGGTTTCCCAAAAGCACTTTCTGGGTGCACCAGGACGTGTTCAGCCCATGGGATGGGGCAGGAATGTATGGCGCTTTGCTGTCCCACTGTTGCTTTTCCGAGACGGTACTTTACTGGTTTTCTGGTGTTTTCTCCCTGGCTCCTTAGCAGTTTGACTCCTGCTACATATTTTAGCTGCATTAGCTTCTTTGCTGGTTAGAAATGGCAGAAAAAGCTCTCTGACCTTGGCTAGCATGCTGAGAACAGTACAGGAACGAGCCTTTGTATCAGACATTCCCAGTGAAGGTTCCTTCCTCCCCCCCCCCCCACGTGTTGGGGCTGCGCAGTGCAGGCGCTGTGGGGAGGGCTTGGATGGGCTCTGTGCCGTCCTTTCCCTTTTTAGAAGGATAGAAAAGGAGAAAAGTAATTTGTCTGCCAGTCGGTTAATTGCTTTAATCCGGGCAGCAGCGAGGCGCCTTAACTGGAGCAATCCCACATGCAAATGCTTTTCAGACGATCTGCATTTCTTTTTGGATTTTCTCAGGATGTGTGCAAACATTTGTGGCCATGTTCCAGGTGCGTGCCTTGTGTGTCTGTGTGCTCCTGCCCTTTCCCATTGCTATAGTGCCCTGTTTTCCACCTCCTCACTTTGCTGCTGCTGTTGTGTGTCCCCTCAGACTCCCTGCCCTGCAGTCCTGCACTCACCTGCTCTCCACTGCATAGCACGGGGGCAGATTGGCCCCGTCCCTCACCCAACGCCCATGGCGGATTTGTCCTGAGATCCTTCTGCTGGCCTAGGAGAGAGCTGAGCGAGTGCTCTCAAGGCTGGGTGCCTAAAATTAGACCTGACATCTGTGTTTTGGTTTGCAGGCAGGCTTGGAAGAAAACGGCTCCTGGCTGCTTCACTGCTGGGGGAGCACAAAGCAGGGCCGAGGCGTGAGCAAAGCAGGCACAGCACTGCTCTGTGCAGCGGGGCCAGGAGAGCCGCGGCCTCGCAGGGCTGCAGCGTGCACAGCAGCTGTGTGGGTGGGTGCTGCTCCCACGGTGCCAGGAGAGGCTCTGAGCAGAGCCGTGTTCTGCTGGGGCTGTGCTGGGAACCGCATTTTCCAGGAAATGCCTGCAGCCCCCGGACGCAACAGGCACGGTGCTGCATGGCACGCATCCCTGCATGCAGCGTGCTGCCAGCAGCCCAGGCTTCCCTTGTTCTTATGAGGCTGCTGTGCACCAAGGTTACTGCTGAGCGTGCCTGCAGGCTCCTTTCGAGCACTGTGCACGTTCACCCCAGGCCTGAGCGCCCCAAGGTGCAAGATGGTGGCAGGGGCCCTCGGGTGTCTGCAGCGCTGCAGTGTGGTGCGGGGCCACGAAGCGCAGCTGGTGGCAAGCTGCCGCTGTGGGTGCAGAGGGATGTGATTCTGGGTGCTGTGCTGGCAGCTGAGTGCAAGGCTGAGGGTGCCAAGAAGGCCGCAGAAACGCGAAGCCTCCATTATAACTCGCACGCTTTTTCTTCGAGATGACTCAGAGCACGATCTGCTCTGAGGACATGGGGAGATGGTGCCGTTGCATAAGTTTCGAGGTCTTCTCTAGAATACAAGTGGTTTGCCAGTGGAGTGAATTTTTGCAGATACAGCTTACACCGCCCTCCAGATAAAATATCCCGAACCCTCCTTCTGCCCCAGCAACTGTATCTGTGCAGGGCTTTGGTCATGATATAAACACACCTAAAAATAACAGGAGTGTGAC